TTTTTTAAATGGCACACATATTTCGTAATTTCAGTGCCTAGGAATTAAATCACAAAAAATGTGTGTGACAAATTTGGACATTAAAACACCAATGTCATTACGTTACAGGTAAAATTGAGTAAGTCGTATGTTTAATGGTAGAAAATTTGCCTTAATTTTTGTAATTTTGCTTAGGGCAGATTTCCATTAGGCTTTGAAATTACAAAACACTTATTTGTGCTATTCTAAAAATGCCATGTCGAAACGAACGTACTAATAATTTTAATATTGAAAAGTAATGACGCAGGTTTTTTAATGCCGAAAATTGGGCCCAGCAGAAATCCGCCAATAGGCATTCATTTTGAAAAATTTGAATTGATCGTTTAAAAATTCAGATATTTAAAATAGCTGTGAGAGATTAAAATCTTTAACAAAAATTTGAACATAAAGATGATGTAAAGTTGCCGCGAAGTATGCAACACACACTTGACTCAGGGAAGATTTTACAATTCCAATAATCATTACCTTAGTCTAAATACATACGCTCTACATTTGTATTGAAATTAATTTTACCCTTCACCCTTTTGCTTCCTTTACTCTTATATAACGAATAGATCACTGCAACTAGACGAATTGCGTCGTCGCATATTTACCGCTTTCTTGAACTTCAACACCGATGAGAGAAAAATTTTTGTGCGATTCGTTAACTTTGAAACTGTCTTGCGATTACTTTCGTCCAGCAATTGATCATTACTCTCTGTGTAATTGTCACCACTCGCACCATCGCTGACACAGCGTCTACCGCCAGTAAATGCGCCAATAGCACCACTGACACCACCGCTACCATAAAATCGACGACTCTTCGGCGATGCATTCAAACTGTTTTTACCGCCCGACTTTAGCATATCAAATGTACTCATCGGCCGCGCTTGCTGCTGCTGTTGTTGTTTGTGTAGCGCCGGCTGTCGTTGAGCCTCTTCTTCATCTTCCAACTCACTTTCGCCCATCTTCAGGATGCTTTCCAAATTGAGCGTACGCTTATTGCTACGTTGCACATAATTTTTCGTGGTTGTAGGTTTAATGCCCAATCCGGTTGAGGAGAGACTTGTGCTGATGGTGCGTTCGCTGCCGGTGCCGACGCCTTCGTCGGTGATGGTGTTGTTGGGTTGATGATTTTCATCGATCGTCTCACCAACACCAACTCTGCTGCTGACCGCATTGTTTGCATTATCGGTTGCGTTGTCGCCATCATCATCGTCATCATCATCATCATCGTCATCATCACCATCGTCAGCATGATGTATGGACACTTGCCGTACCATGCGGCGTGGCGCTATATGCATATGACGATGTTTTTGTATTGCACTCTGTAGGCTGAGACGTTGACGATCTCGTTCGCTGAGGTTGCGTATACGCTGTGGATTCAGTTTAGCTTGCGCGACAATGCCAACAAGCAGCTCGTTGACGTTGTGATCGAGGCCGGAAGAGGTTTCAATGAATTTGCAGCAAATATCTTTGGCCAATTTGCGACCAGCTGGAAGGGAAAGGTAAAAAATGGAAGTTAAAAAGTGCTGAACTTTATTTATTTTTCTAAAGTCTATATTTTGACATTTGATTCAAAACTTATCCTTAAAAGCAGGGACCCAGAACGCGTTCTGGCTTTGGTTTTGGAACTCCCTCAATGAGAAGGAAAGTATCGAGAACGTTTTCAAGGAGGATCAAATAAGAACAAAAGTCTGGGAACGTTTTGGTAGAGAACAAAACGAGAAAATAAGTTTTGAGAACTTAACGTTCAGTGAGAACCATGATTGTTATTTCTAAGCCAGAGGAAAGCTGGACCATTTCAACATCCAGATCGTTTACCATTAGAGGACACTGTTCATTTACGGAACAATTTTTCACTTTCTGTGCACGAAATATCGTGTCTTAGGTCATTCGTTGAATTAATTTGCATAGTTATCTTTTTTTTTTTTTTGATTAATTTTAATATTTCAACATTTAAAACTAATGGAACGCTATGAAAATTTTCGTTATCGTTTCCATCCTTCAATAATAGTTCATAGAAGATTTGCTCCCGTTCGTTATCTGTTAGAAAGTTTCTGAGACTTTAGTTCCCAAATGGTTCTTCGAGAGGAAGTGCCTTAGACTTTTGTTCCCATTTTTTCTTTGTCAGAAGATTACGGACACTTTTGTTCCCATTTTGTTCTTTTTGGGAAAGTTCCACAGGGTTTTGTTCTTATATAATTTTTTGACAGTTTTGTTCTCACTTTCGTTCTTGTGAAAACATTCCCGAAGATTTTGTTCTGATTTCGGTTTGGGTTTTTAAGCGTTCTTGGGAACAAACCGACGAGAGCGACACATCGTCTCGACCGCACAAAATGGTTGGAAAGTTCATCCTTTTAACTACTAAACAAGTTGCTCAAGTGCGACGTTATAAAAACAGCGATTTTGTCAAATTCACTGAGAGCGGAATAGCGGTACCGAGATGGGCGCCACCTTTGTTCTCTACATCGTGGGTTACTTCGTCCACCTTTGGTTGATGGAGTGGACTATTAGAAACAACTTTTTTGTTTTACTTTAATTTTTTTGGTTTTGGTCGGGAACTGGCCTCCAACCCAGGCCTGCGGACTGGTATCGCGCACTGTTAACCACTACTTCACAGCGGCCGCAGGTTTGCGTTTAGTAGCAGTTATTCCGACTTTAATGCTTTACTTAGAGATCTTGCTGAATACTGAAATGGAATAAGGGTGTAGGTCTTTACCGTTTTTTGCGAAAGAAATATTGTGAAAGCAGTTGCCTGGAATACATGGTGTCATGTATGTAGCTCTCTAGAGCCTAGCGAGCCAGTTTGAGAATGGGAAATCTTAAAGTGTGCCATCCAAGGCAGCCAAGTTAGCTAGTTAGTTGGATTACAGCTAGTCTCGAGTTTATCATCAAAGCCTATCGGAAGCTGAAGAGCTTTGGTGCGTGTGGAGATTATTAGGTGAGGCTGTTATGCTTTCCACTTTTTAATTTTTCTTCTAGGGTATGCACACAGGGTGGTCCAAAAAAGTCGGAATTTTAATGCTCTCACCCCTTAAGATTGTTCTATATCGACAAAAATTATAATCCAATTTTTTTAATTCAAAATAAAAAAAATATTTTGAGGTTGCTCAAAGCGCACAAAGTTTTCCATGTATTTTGTATGGGGGAAAAACAACTTTTCGTTGAATTGGATAGAATTCTTGAAAATCAATATTTTTCGTTTGGAAAATTTCGGTTATCTTCAGGAGACTTCCAAAAACAATACCCAATTTATTATTTAACCACTTTTTAGTATTAACGATTTTTTATTTATCCCCCCATTGCATGTTCTGGCATTTTCTGGGGGTTTTCGCGGACCTATAAAATATAGTTACTATAAAAAAATGGTTAAATAAATAATTGGTTATTATTATCGGGAATCTCCAGAAGAGAAACAAACTTTTTCGATCGAAAAATATGGACTTTCAAGAATTCTATAAAATTTTTACGAAAAGTTGATAAAAAATAGGGGAATTTTTTTCTTACAAAAACCCGAAAGAGAAATTTTAATTTATTCGTTCAAATCGCAAATTTCGAAAAAAACCTAGGAGGTCATTTAAACAACTTTGAGCTTGTCTAAAGGTCTGTAATTTACGGTTAAAACTGTAAATCTGGGCACATTGACTTACAGTGACGAAGCGTAGCTTTTCTGCAAAGATAAAAAAAATACTCTCAATAGATTTGAAGAGAAATACATTTTTATTCAATTATTTTGGCTATTTCTTTGCAGCAATGTACAATGGGCTTAAGGTGGCCAAAAATATTAAATTACCCAGATTCAAAGCAAAGCATCTAACACTAACACAAATCAAAAGCAGTTTTTAATAAAAAATCATATTTGAAATCGTGAGACTAGCTTTAAAAAATTAGTAAAAAATTTTTTGAAAGAACAAATTTTGATTTTGTCGCAAGTAACTTAAATAAATTTTTCTACTAGTACGGAGATTTTTTTAAATACTTACAATCATGATAAAAATATAGTAAGGTAGAACCGCTGAGAGTTACTTTTAAAATTCTTGACGTTTCCAAACATTTTAATTTTTAAATTTACTCACAAACTCACACACACATTTTCATTTTCAATCTCAAGCAACAACAATTTCGAACAATTTCAATTTTTTATTTTCAATTTTATATGATTTTAAAATGCTGGCAAACTTCGAAAAAAAAAATCATGGCCGACAAAATGAGAGAACGGTTCTACCTTGCTATGTTTTTATCATGCTTACAATATTTCACTTTCAAACTTTATACAAAATTTAGGAAAACTCAACAAAGTTTGATTAAAATTTCGAACTTTCAATCCGAATCAGAAGAAATTTTTGGGTATGCATAGAATTTTAGTGTAATGAAGTGCAAGTTTCGGCGGCTAAAAAATCGCGTGGATATTTAATAAGTGCAATTTATAAAAACTTGCACCTTATTATACTAAAATTTAATGGCCTATAAAACCACATACTCAAAACCTTTCAAAGAAATCGAATTGAAATGTTGAAAATTTTGATAAACATTTTTTGGTATTTCTTGAATTTGACCCAATTCTATATGAAATTTAAAAAATTGTTTCTATAGGTTTTTTCTGTTGAATGAACTATATTTTTATAAAAAAAAGAAATTGGTATGGAAAATATAAGTAAAGAAAATCGTAAAAACGTCAGGATATTCATAAGTTTGACGCTGACTGTATATGAAATTTCAGCAAATATTTAGTACGGTTACTATTTTTGGCCGCAGGTTACGTATATGGGGACGTCCCACTGTGGAGCGCTATGAAGCAGTAAAATCAAATCGAAAATTCCTAATCAAAAACTGCCAAAACTTTACACTTTATTCACTCCCCCAATTATGATCACGAATTACCACATTCACACAGGCACATTCTTAATTCGATTTGACAGTTCTCTGCCTTTGCGGTTTGTTTTTTTTTCTTCGCTACAAAATTGATGGAAAATGTAAATTTTTACTAAATGTTTATATATTTATGTATTAAATAGGTGATGTACACGTTTATTATTTTTACTTATAGTACTCAGAAAAAGTGACAGTTTTGATTTGTGCATTCCGATTAAAACTAGAAGCGGCAGTGGATTGTTCCTAATTTGCATGGTAATTGGATATGAATTACCAACAAATGAGGTAACTCGCTTTCAAAATTTTGTATGCCGAATTATGTAATTCGAATTGTAATTGAAATGTGAATTACGAATGAGAGAACTATGTAATTGCGGTGCCGTAGGAAAGTCGTGTAAAATGTCGTTTTGCCAGTAACCATTCTTAAATCTTTTTTGGTTTTAAATTTGTACTTAATTTTTATAACTCGAAAATATGGTCTCCGTATCTATGGGAAAAAAACTTGCATCAGACATATAAATACGTATTCTTAAGCAATTTGCTAGTTTTTAAATATTTAACAAGTCAGTTTAGCAGACAATTTCTTAAGCTAAACTTAAATAAATATTTATTTTTAAAAATAACTAACAAATACCTACATATCGAGCCCTAACCGCCAAAATAACGTAAGCGACATTTTTTTCAAAATTTTCTTTTTGATGCAGAAATGCATCTAGATGCTCTAGGAATATTTCTGCATCAAAAAGAAAATTTTGAAAAAAGTGTCGCTTACGTTGTTTTGGCGGTTAGGGCTCCATATGGCCCCCTTCACTTCTCCCAGCTCAATTACTACTCACTTTGCCGATTCACCTCGCGATGTCGCTCCAAATCCGTTTTATTTCCCACCAAAATAGCGCCACGTGTCAACAGCATTTCGTGTTCTTTCAAATATTGCAAAACCTTTTCTGCCGCCTTAAAAGAATTTCGATCCACCACTGAGTAAACAACAACAAATAAATCGATGTTGTAAGTCGAACAAAAGGATTCCGTCTGCACAATATGAAATTACAGTATGAAAAGAGAGGAAATCGAATGATAAATACATAGCGAGAATGCCATAAAGAGAAGAGGCAAATAGTTAATAAAATTATTTACACAAGATAATTATTATATATGTCAGTGAAAATGGCGCACTTTGTTCAGTAACCACAACCACAGCCCCGAGTGTTTCAAATGAATTAATTCTTTTGCATTGGTAAGCGAATATTGTCTTCCATTTCAACATGGCGAGATGACACTTACTTATAATGGTCTGATAAAGACTTCCGGCAAATGTTCTCATTACACTCAAGCGCTAGTGTGTGAACGCACACATACATACATACTTCTTAGTGTACGTCTGTCATTAATTCGCATTCGTCCTTTTATCGCATCCATGTCATACGTTGTAAGAGTAGGCATTCATGTTCTCCTTATTGTTGTTGCTGACTTTATTGTTAGCCAACATAGTACAAAGTGTTAATGACATTTACGAGAACACAGCTACACAAACTAATAAGAATAAGAATAGAGGTTGCACTGGCACAAATATGAGTGCTTGTAATATTAGCGGTAACTTATACTTATACATATGCACGTGATTACATATTTGACATATTATTTCCAATGCATCTCTGTAGGTATGTACAGTTCCTTTACATGCCACCATCGTGTCCCTTATTTGTACGTAAGTAAGTATGTATGTATATATGTAAGTATTTCTAAACCACTTCAGCTTTGCAGGTCATCCTCGTCAGTCTCTCCGTTGTCATCTAAATAAATATTCACTGAAGTGAGAACTTGACCTACTCATCTCAACGCCATAAAGCGACAACTCGACAATGCGACTGTGACAATTACCCACTCTAGGTGACAAACGATGTCAATGGTTTGCTGGAAAGCGCCGCGACGCGCCGCGCCACACCGTCCAGTGAAAGTTTGTTGTAAAAGCCACTTACCGACATTTCACAGGCTGGATGATCGATAATTTCCAAGTCTGTCTCGATGCCGTCAACGAGCACTGATACTGTTTTTTGGCCATAATCATCGTCTGTGAGAGAGAGAGAGATGGAAAGTAAAGAGTAGAAAATCAGTTATGGCATGAGTAACTAATATATGTATGTACATAAGTAGTTACATTATTAATTCGGATAAAAGGCTCAATCAGTGGGAGGGGGGAGCGATGGAGGCGATCAGCACTTTTGGACAGCTTTTTAGTATTTCGGATCATTGTTCGACGCGCATATGGGTAATGTAATAATGTTCACTTCGCTAATAAAATTAAACAAATAAAAATTTAGCTATACATATTTTTTAAATCCATTATTATTGAAGCACAAGAGCAACGCTAATTAAAAGGATGTCTTCATCGTAAAAATACTCAACTGAAAGCAATTAATATTTCGCTGTGTATCACAAACTCGTAAGTACTGTACGCTCCTAAGTTATAAAATTTAATGGCCAGCAAAGTCGGAATGTCGAAATAATTTAAAAGCAATTTCTTTTGCGGTAAAAGTAGTAAAAACCTTTATTACCCTGCAAGCAAAAGTTACTCGTATGAATGTACGAATGTTTGTTTTTTCTTTAATAACAAATTACTTGCTATATATATTTACACGGTCTCACCACCGTTTTATTACCCCTTTTTAAACTTTTTTTTTTATTATTTTCAGAAATAAGCTATTAAAAATGCGAGAAGTTACACGAAAACGAAGATGAAGGCCAATAATAGCTTTGAAGTAAGCAGGCGAGAACGAGCTTAGCTTTAGCTTTTTAGATTGTAAAAAAAATCAATACTAAGAAGAAGAAATGGTTGACGTTTAGATATCGCATACTATTTGCTTAACGGGCACAGATCAAATAAATATAAAATTTAGGTAGATTTTATTTGCATAAATCATTTCGTAGGATTTTTCTAGAACTAAATGCAAATATTTTTTTCTTCATGATTATATTTATATTTTAATTGTATATGTTTTTTATTTATAATGCAAATATTTTTTTTCCTAAGGATTATATTCTCTAACTAGATCTGTTTTTGTATTAATTGCGGTATAGTCATTGGAGCTCTTAAATATTATTTTAAGTAACAATTTCGAAAAATTATTATGTTTCTTAAAAGTTTTCTGGTAAGTTCAAGTAGCTGACATTCGCCGTTATCGCGATATATGTAAACAAATTAAAATTAAATGTTTAGAGTTCAATAGAAAATTATATTTAATAGTAATCGTCGTGTCATTTAACGCTCGGGACAAGAGCTTCGTCTCTATAAATTAGCCCGCTTCCTTTTCGCGCGGCACAACTTTTAGCCAGCATCTCAAGCTTTTTACAATAATGCCATTTTGGTTCTCTATTATCTCTATATTCAACTGTTGCTCGCATAACTATCAGCTACAGGTCAGATTTAACAAATTAAAAATGGCGGATTCATATTGGATCTACTATTTATCACGGTAAAGTGCCAAGTCCATCTTCTGAAATTGTTCAGGAGAGATCGAAATATCGTATTATCTGCCATCCTGCATCAAAAACTAAATTTTGAGAAAAGATCTTGGCACTTTCCAATTTTAGGTAGCGATATGGCGTATGAATAACATTCTCATCTCTTCTGGGTAACACATGCGCTGTGTACGTCGTTCGATTTTGACTTTTCCGTGACCCCCGATCCAATCTGACTTCAGATTCGTAACACTGGATTACAGCAAAAATGTTCCACGGATGCCAGTATCCAATTCTCGCTGATTATAAAAATCGAGTTAATTTTTTTATATGCATAAGTTTTCGTGAGATTTGCAATTCCACTTAATCAAGTATTTCTTATGAAGCAATTGAATAATCTTAATAAAGCAATTGAATAATCTTAATATAAATGGAAAATCAAAGCTAACAAAATCCTCCATTAACCGTCGGTGCATCACTTTTCGATAGGCCTAATAGTTTCTGAGAAATTAATTAATCATTTCAGATTTTTTTTTTGTGAAAAACTAAAAAAAAAATTAAACCTTAACAGGGGAAAAAATTAAAAAAAAATCAGTTTCTGTGTATTTTTTTGTGTTAACGCCTAGTCCCCTAAAAAAAATTTTTTATACTAATGAAGAAAGTCGATGGATATTTATAAAAGGAATAAGTGGTCAAATAAAAATGCGCAAGGATTTTGTGTATTACAATTGAGTAACATTCTTTCCCTCTCATTTTTCATTTGGCCACTCATTTATTATTTATCTATCCATCGATTTTCTTTATTAGTAGCTTGATTTTTTTTTTATAACAGAATCAGTTTTAACACAAATTAAAAAAATTTACACAGAATGTGTTATTTTTAAAACTTTTTCGATGTTATAGTTTCAATTTTTTAGTTTTCTCATACAAAAACAAAAAAATCTGGAATTATTAACAAATTTTTTAGAAATCAACAGGCTTATCGAAAATTGATGTATATATGGTTATGTAGAATTTTCTTTTAGCTTTCATAAGCCTATTTCGTATTACAATTCTTAAATGTAAGGTATACGTGGTTAAGTGGAACTACTTTTTGTTTTAAGCTGAATAGCGTTAAATTGAAAATATCTCGTAATCTTCTCCATAGAATTTAACTCGATTTTCGGAATCAGTGGGCCGTTATACATAGAAATTGGATAGGGGGAGCCGTGGTGCAAAAAAAAACACTAATACGTGATACATAAAAAGGCTGCTGCTAATTGGTTTTTTTTAGTGTTGGGTTCTCCAGAAACACAAAAGTTTTAGAGCAGAATCTAATCTTGAATTTTTAAAAATGCCCAACGCTTGGCAAAGAATGTCCCATATACAGGAGTACACTATAATACTACTAATTTGACCAAATTCTACTTGCACATTTATTATTACGCGATTCGTTGCTATTCTAGTAGTTCGCAAAGTTTGTTGTTATTCGGCTGCTGCCTGTCTACCTACACAGCTTGTAGTGTAATTTAACAACAACTTGCTTAATGTCGATTGTGTTGATTGGATTTGAACATGGTTTCTTGCTACATACCCATTTGCACTAGCTACATTACTACCATTAGCACAAGTTTACATTCTTGCCGCACATTCCTTTGTGCTTAATATTGAAAACAGTTGTAAAGTTTTCCTTGATTGCAATAAGAGGTTCTTAGTGTTAGCTGTTTCATTGTTCAATTCGCAAAACTTAATTTCTGCGGTTTCACCAATGGCTTTTGAAATAAAAATTAGTTCGCAATTTGTAAGTGCTAGAAGCTGTGTGGGAGGAGGTATGTAAATATCAAATGCTTTCTCACTCTTTTGCATACACTTTGTTGGCAGACATTAAAACATTTGCGCCGCAGTGAATACAGTGCTACTAACTATGCATGCAGTATGTTTATGCACATATGTATGCTTAGAAATATTTCCTCCCGCAAACTGTTCATACTTACCCAGACTCAAATCGTAGGCGCAAATATAATCGGATGTTGTGAATTGATAGGTTAATGTCGTTTTACCAACACCAGAAGCGCCAAGCATGGCAATTTTATAGGCGGGTATCGGCGCTTTATTCGCATCCTGCTTCTCTGTAGATTCGAAAATATTGTCTCCGGATATATGCGATGCATTGCTGTGCAAAAGACACACAAAATAGAAACGTTGCAGATACGTAAAATTGAATTTGACATTAACGATATTAAACGATTATCGAACATATAACAAGTTAGATTGCCACGCACGCCACTAAATTAATAAACGCGTATTTATGTAGGTACATCATGGATGTGTGAATGTGTTGTGTGTGCGCACTAGAGGGCTGCATAAATGGCTTTGAAAAGGTGTTCGCGAATTCAGCAACAACGAACACAATTATTTTTAATTTTGAATTCTTCAATAAAGAAGCTCTTGAGCTCTTCTTAAGATGAGCTAAGAAAAAGTATAAAATTTGGAAATGAAAGTTATTTAGTGAACAAGTTGGCAATACTGTTTTAAAAAACCAAGAATTTTAAGAAAATGTTATCTTATGCAAATATATTTCTGGCAAGATTACCACATGTCAAAAAAGAAAAAAATAGTAAATAAAATTTAATCCAAGTTGAATGATAAAAACTTAAGTTAAGAAAAAGTTAAGCAAAACTAGCTATTTTTTTAGATAAGTATACAAAATCTTACAAATCCAACTCCTAGATGATCCTATGAGAAATCAATACATGAACAATCCCAAAAAAAGGGAAAATCCAAGAAATTTCCAGAAAATCTCTAAACATTTTTAAACCACCGAAAATATGCAATTAGTGTGAAGTAACTTCTAAGATTCCCGAAATATTGAGAAAATACAAATAAGTTTAAAGGGCAAAGAAAGAATAATTCACAAAATTCTCACAATCTCAAAAAATTCCGATAGTCACGAAAATTTTCAATTAGCGTTAAAAATTCCTAGAACTTCGGAAAAATGCGAAAAGTGTCAAAAAATACTGAAATATTTCAATAGATCATGAAAATCTAGAAAACAATTTTCAGATACCGATTACACTCGATGGCTTTATATTGAACTATAAAATAAAAAAGTACATCACTTTCTAAAAGTGTCGAATAATTGAGGAAACGTAAAAAAACTTAAAAATCAAAATTCTGGATTATCTGAGAGAAAAAAACTTAAAATTTCAGAAAAATCTCTGGAATTCTTAAAATCCCAAACCACGCTGCAGGTATGGACAATTTTTAATCAGCGTAGAAAAATTTCTAGAAATCCGGAAAAAATCCCAAAAGTGTGAAAAATCCTAAACCGCTCTAATAGATCATGAAAATCCAGAAAAAAATTCAGATCTCTTTTGAACTCGATAGATTAATAATATTCAGCAATAAAATAAATTAAAAAATATCTGTAGAATAAGAGAAATACAAAGAAGAACCCCTAAGAATCGCTTCAATGGTGCACGGGCAAAACAAAAGCATTTGCGCAGCTCTCTAGCGTGTGCTGCACGTCACAAGCGTTTATATTTATTATAAAAACGTAATTGAGTTAGTAACAATATGACAGCATTAAACGCACCTGTTGTTCCGGTCTTTGCCGCTGTTCGATGTGCCCGTCGATGTAACCGAGTTGATTGAACGTGATCGGCGGCTTCTGAGCGAATAGCAAATATGCCCAGATGAGGCGAGGCATGACAAACGGACGATTGATGGTTTTATGAGCGCAAAAGAAGTAAAACAAAAGGCAAGCAAGTTAGCTTGGAACGTGATTGCGCATAATATACATACATATACATACATATATGTATTTTTATACATACTTAAAAACATTAAATTTAAAGCGAAAGCACATACTGAAGATATCAGTAGCACTCTCATCATAAATATTATCATAAATTTACTTTTCAGATTTAAATATTTAATTTCAACTGCCATGAACACCCCCATGCCATTTGATATGTCTAGTCTTGTCTGGCCTATCTTGGACGCGTCTGCTGCACAGTCACTCGTCGCAGTCAAGCTGATATTATATGCTGGTACATATGTATGTATGTATGCACCAGTTAAAGTACGTACGTGAGTATGTGCATGTTCTTTTATGTCGGTAGCCTCGTCTGGCTTATTTTTTTCTTTGCTCCTGTTATTCTTTAGTCTATTCACTCGTCTCAACTTTTTTGCTGTCGCCTAACGTGTCTATTGATGTAGCTGACTGTTTACTTACCGCAGGGAATCACCCAAATTGCATACACCATGTGACGTGATGCTAAAGCTCCGCAGGCGATAATATTCCAAATCGAGGTCGGCACAATGTATTGCTGCACGTCGCGTATCGGCGAGACGTGGCTACAAATAAGCAAACAAACATACATACATAGAATAACTAATAGAAATAGAATAAGTTCATGAAAGCTCTATAAAAATCACATTAAAATGACGCCTCAAGTACTGAGGGAGTTAAGTTGTATAGTTCGGATGGACTACGCAGTGAGTGAGTGTATAATAGCTAGAGAGCTGATGGTGAAAGCATATGAAATGAACATCAGTAGGGTTTGGACTGCGACATTGGTCTATTCATGTGGCGAGGCTGCTATTATTATTTTTATAAAAAATAAATATTTACATATTTGTATGCTTTATTTAATGAAGAATACTTGTAATGAAAAAATTATATTTTAAATTTATTTTGCCATGGTGAAAACCCTAGCAGAATGTGGACGTGAGTGGATGTTTGTGCAACGGGTGTAATGGGATCCTACCCAATGAAGGTTCTGAACGCTCTCCTCGATTTACCGTCTATAGATTTCTGTATACTTAAAATTTAGCTGCTAACAGATTACGGGCTTTGGGTTTCGGAAAGGAAGGACCATTCGAGTAAAGTGAGAAGAATTCCATCTAAGGTATAAGCGCCCGACGATTTCAAAACAAGAAAATCATGGACCAACTACAAACCCTGGACTGGATCTGGCGAGAGACTTAGAGCTTGGAGGGCATGGCTGTTTTTAGTGATGGATCAAAGATAGAGTGCTGCCCCAGCGGATCATGTAAGCATTCTCCAGGCAGAGACGTTTGCACTCAAGAAGGTGGTACGGTACATCAAATGTCAAGTATACGCCAGAACGAAGGTGAAAATTTCCTATCTTCTGAACTACCTTCTAATTACTACCGTCCTGGTGATGCCTTTCGCAGAAGTTTAGCTACAAATGCCAAGAGATATCCACCTTATTCTGGCTCAATTCCGGCCTGGATAATGTAGTGGTTTAAACTCTTTGGGTACCCCACAAGACACCAGCCACATCTTCACATGTCCGTATGGAAAACCTCAAAGCCCCGGCGGAACGGTCAAATATTAACCGATTTCAGAATAAAGAGATACTTTCTCTCCTCTTCGAATTTGGCGCTGTAGCCGCTTAAGTGATTTTGGACGAGTTCAACAAAGCTTGCCAGTCGTTTATACTCTGTGCCAACTGACGCCAAAGTGAAGCCAAGTCCTTCTCCACTTGGTTTTTCCATCGCAGTGGGGGCCTCCCTCTTCCTCTGATCTCACCAGCTGGTTCCAAGTTGAATAATCTAAGAGCTAGAGCGTCGGTTTCCAAGCCAGCGGAGCCGCTGTATTTTAATGCTCCGCACTATTTCAATGTCGTTGTAAAGTAAAGCTTATCGTTCGATCGTCTTTTGTTTGTCGAGAGAGGATTTTGCTCCTTAATTAATTGCCTACTCAGTCCAAAGTAGCACTTGTTGGCAAGAGTGATTATGCGTTGAACTAGGGTGCTAACATTGTTATAGATGTTATCGAAGTAAACGAAATTGGAGTACAATGGGGTATAGTCGTTGTTTTGGGCATGAAGTTACAGTAGCACGGCGATACTCAATCCCTACTCTTGCTGCCTTGTTTACGCACTCTGCGCAACGGGAGCTTCCCACGTGCGAGATGCGGTAACTAATTCGAGTGGAGCCTTCAGTGGGGCCACTCCGACTTATTCGGTTTAAGCGCTCACTGAAGTCTACAACGTCTATTCCCCAGTAGGTGTGGTGGCAAGCGGGCGACTGTCTTGGAGCAAGCGGCTCGCTATATAAACGTGTATTCCGGTATGAAACCACTCCCCTCCCAACATTGGGAGTTTGGGACCCACAAAGTAACGCTCTTTCCAGTGACGAAGAAAAAAAAAACTAAAGAATAACAGGTCTCGTTATTTTCCATTTTCTATAATTCCGGGAGTGGCAGCATGAAAATTCCAAAAATGTATTTTCCTGTGTATTTTTGGACCGCCCTAATGCACATATGTATGGAATAAAAATTTTCTTGAAGTGGACTAGTGTATATCTCAAATAGTCAGCATATCTTGAAATACAAACAGTAATTATCATCGAAGTTAGTGAAAGTATTTTTGGAATATGACGCTCATTTGCCGAAAAGTTGAAAAGTTTTTTAAAAGAACGGACATTTTTTACCTTAAAGTAATCAAATTGAAATGTAAATGTTGCCCATCCATGCCGCAAATATTATTCCATACAATTTAAAGCAATGTTAAAAAAAAATTTTGTGAAATGGAAATGCGGAAGTGAGCTGGCGTTCAGCAACATAAAATTTGTTATGCGAAACCAAAATGTAATAAAATATATTATTTTTTCATGTGTTTGAATGTTTGGCTATCGTTTATTTTTTACCTCTTTCATATGCACTCAAGCGTTTATAGTGCTGATAGTTCGCGTTGAGTTGAGCCAAATTTTGACCAACATAAAAAAAAAAAAAACTTTTATTTATCTTTGAAGGTTCGCTGACCTGAAAACAAGGATTCCCAAGGGGTTGAGTGTGGACATGAGCAAATTTTGATGAAGAAAATAAAGTGGAAAAGAAAGTTTGGCAGAAATGCTTGTATGTAGTTATATTTGCTTGATGGAAAACCTAGGCAAGCTTGACTCTTGCATACAAAAATAACTGAATACATACATACATATGTATGTATGCATGTATGCGCGCCCATGATTGTTTGTAAGTAGACATATTTACACAAGTGTGCTGATAGCTCAGCAATTCAGTCGAGCGGCAGAGATTGCTGCCAGTTGGCTTCATTTTACCCTGCACATATCAAAAAGGTCCAAATAAAATGAAAATATGCTGACGCGTAAAAATTTATAAAAATAAAAATTGGCGTATGTATGCATGTTTATTTACATAACGGAATATGCAATTTTTGGAGCATGCAGAAACACTTGGCTCTTATGGGAATGTGATCACTTGGTTCAAAGAAAAAAAAAAGAAATTGCCGGACGAAATGTCGGAGAGAAATTAAAAAAAAGCGCAAAACTATAAACAATTTTGTTTTCATTCGCAAATTACGTGAATGAGTTTTTCAAGAAGAAAAAAAAACAAATTAATAAAAACATATTCAAAAATGATTTTATTTAAAATTGACCTAAATATTTGAGTCACAATTTGGAGAAATTCCAATGATTCGGGACAAGAAGGGAGTCGTGATGTAAGCTCAGTGGGTAACCAAAGAGGTTCGATGTGATATCCCGGAGAGAATATGCCTAAGAAATTGTCCTTAATTGTCCTTTAGTTATTGCGATATTTTCAGTGATGCCTTAGCTATACAGGTTTTCTAAGAAATACATATTTATATATGTAGTTACACAGAAATTCGCACCGAATTCCTTGAAGTGCGGGAAATTTGCACAGCATATTGTAACTCTTGTAAGACGCTTGCCGGAGAAGAGAAGGGTGTACAACGAATGGTGGGCCTATGTACAACTGGAACATTATTCATTATTGCCATTGTGGTACTAGAGAGGAACTACTTTTACTAGATAGGCAATAATCTCTACCCAAAGGACTTCGAAATAGTTTGCCAAAAGTGCTAAAAGGCAGACCCAAAATTAGTATGCAGTGTGGGTGACCGTAGCCCGGACAACGGCAGACAACTACTGATAAAGTGTAAAGCAGTGTTTTCATTGGCGGCCGCTGTGGCTGAGTGGTTAGAGGTTAGGGCTATCACTCAGTCGGATTCGACCCTTGGCCCCAAACCCGGTGTCCAACCCATTGCTGGGAGGAAGAAAATCCAGGGGGCTTCACCATCTCTTCTCAAAACCTCAAATGCGGTTCGGGCGCTATTCGTTTCCCTACTGAACTCTGCCTAGCAATTTTTCGTGCTAGTTAGTTCATCAAGACATACTAGTTCTGCTAGGACGTCTCATTGTTAAGAATTTGGTGATCTCTCTAAAATGAAGTGATGAGAATTTTGAGTCCGCCGACCGTAGTTTGCTTGCTGTAGGCATGCTAGTGCGGCATGTGTTCACAATAGGTTACTATAATAAGTTTCACAAAGAAACTCCAACTTCGTGTGACCCCGCATGGCTGCAGAACAACTCAGAAAGTAGCGTGCAGAGGGAAAATACACCCTCTGTAATTCTATCCATATAACGCTTTTATTAAAATAATCACCCCATTTCGAAAATGGGAGTCAACCAAATGGATATTACTTATATCCTTCAAAGAGATCCGAAACAAACCTGCTTGTGGATCGTAAAGATTCTAAGTAGACAATATAAAAAAGCCATAACAGTAGACTTATAGTTAAAGAATATAGTCATGGAGAAAAAAATATCTGGATTCATTGGAGATAAATCCTACAAATGTTTGCAAAAAAGCGAAGTAAATATTTTTTTAGCTGTGCCTATTTAATAGAGAGAATGCTCATTGTCGTAATAGGGAGATCGAGTCCGATTTGGCAGATGAGTACTGTAGAAATAAATGCTGAAAATGCATTCTTATGTCAAGCTGGTGGTCCAGCGGATCCTGCTAAGAGGGCTTTGCTCCTCAATTCCAGAGCCAAATATGAAATCAGGTGGAAGTGCTTTCCTGCCTCCGTTGGAAAAAGGCGGGCGTTGATCCTAAGCACTGTCGTGTCATCTCTCACAAAATAGATAGCAATCGGTAAGGTAGAAAATATACTACCATGGTAGTGAAGATGAGCCACAACACCGTAGATACCTTTGGATGAAGGTATGTAAATGGACTGAGTTCCTTTTCTTCCCTCACTATTGATACCAAATGAGTGACCGTGTGGATCCTTGGTTGGGTTTATAACCTAATATGACTTTGTGTAATTGAGCGTTGGTAGCGATATTGATCGGTTCGCGCCCGCGTAATTTCGCTGGGTCACAAACTTAGCTTTAAGCCGCTACTGCTCTTGTAGTTGAGAGGCTAGACGCATTGTATACGGAAACTTCGCATAACAGCTATACAGAAGCCCCGGGTGTTCAAACAACGGCTCTTGAGACGGGATGACTTATGTGGTAAATATCAAACATGATTCATAATGCCTTCTCACATCAGTATAGGATTTCGAGATTATGAGCTGCAAAGAACATTCACGCCAAGTTGTAAAATAAGTTATTTAATTTTTGATTACTAAAAAAATCTCTTCTGAGAGTCTTAAAGAAGAAGTAACACATACTTAATATGTATTTAGTTAACACTGTGGCAATATGAATGCACTGAAGCAACGAATGAGTGTTGCAAATACAAAGTGAAGAAACCGGAAACCAAGCCTGCAATCATTCCAGCAAGCGTTTGTTTGTTTCATTGCTTGCTTTGCGTTTTATTGCTTTGTTTTCAGAAAATATTTGCTACCAAATATGTGTACAGATGGAAAAGAGGATTGCTCGTGCCATACAGACACCAATGTGAGCGGCGATAAGAAGTCTTTTTCTGACTCATTTTTAAGCTCGTAATGAGCGTCACAACTCAGATTACTGAAACTTGTTGACAATTTTAACACTGCCTAAAATTTTCTATGCAGGGCAGCTACCATTCTATGTAGAAATTCAAGCTTACATCTCTTCACATATACGACAAATACTTGTGTACACTGAGAAACGCCCATAATAGTGCATTTTACGCTAAATGTACTATATTTACCTTTCTACTTTCTGCTGGCATACTGGAGGTGCGCATCCGTTGTCGCTGTCGACTGCCCTGCAGCTGTGCAATGGTCGCTGAACTGCTGTGCAATATACTGGAGCCAACGCGATGTACACCGCTAGTGACCACGTTCATGTTCACGCCCGCGCCAACGCCTCCAATGCCACCTTCGATTACATTTAGCTCATAGTGGCTGTCATTTAAGCCGCCGTTGTTGTTGTTGTTGTTATTGCTGCTGTTGTGATGATGGTTCATGGTGGGCGAGTCACCTGCTTGCAATGTGTCATTGACCATTTCACCAGCACTTGTTGCCGTATCCTCCAGCACAGAGGCGAGTGCCGACGATGAGCCACCGAGTAGATCCATATTTGTAGCTATGCTGCCACCAATGCCGCCAGCGCCGCCACCACCGAAGAGCAGCGGCGTGGTAGAGGAATATTGTGGTGAGACAGCACCGGACATGGCCTGTTGAAAGGTGAGCACACCGCCACTGCTGCCACTGCCACTACCGCTGCCACTGCCGCTGCAACTTCCGCTGCTGTCGATGCCCATGGAGTGTAGCGAGGGTAGGCGTGTCGGTTTGCCGCTTACTGGTGATTTGGCCAACGTGATGCGGTCACTGTAAATGTATATAAAATTAATTGTTGGTGGGATTGCTGATAAAGAACTTAAATAGTAGATGGGTTGATGAAATTTAATGAAATAAAATTATGGTCATTGGCATTGGCATTATTGGATGTTGTCTTTGGCTTTCACATTTCGGATGGACGACAAAATTTTAAGTATGTAAGTAAGTGTGAAATGGTGTCGAAATTAAATAATAAGAAGATTTAGATAATCACAAAATATTTAAATCCAGCCGCGATAATAGTTCCGAGGTTTTATAGTTGGCCTCGAACTGAACGGTAGAATGTGTAGGTGGCGAGATTCACTTAAACATATCGTAACTAACTTAAATAAACTATTACGATTAAAGCTGTTGCTAAAGCTGTTAAGGTGAGAATTTAAAGATCGAATTAGCTTCGCATTGTTAACATGCGTGTATTATGGGAAGTGATCAAGTGAATGTGCAGGAGAGCCGTTTAGCAATCTATCTAGCTAATAAGGAAAGTGAGCATAATTGCACCCATCATTTCTTTGCGGACTGATCTAAAATTAATAAAGGAATTGGAGGCCCTGTATTTTGTCTGGATCTCAGGTTTAAACAACCATACAGGCTCCCGAATTGCGGCAGCATTTCTCAGGCCAAAATCTGTGCTGCAGTTAAGTGGGTAACGTTTTGAACTCCTAAAAAAATTCGCATGTAAACATGTTCAGCCATGTCCAGAGAAAGATTGATAGAAATGAGCAAACTAACAAGCTAGCTTGTACCGGGTAACTAATCTATATTGCGATTTGAAAAGAAAATCATTCGGATTCCTTTACTTGCCACTATGAATTTGTATTAGTCCGTGTCGCGTTTCGAATCGCAATACAGAGTAGACCTCCTAGTTAAACTGACCACTGTGAAACAAAGAAGTCATCTTGCCCCCAATCATCTAAGGAACGAATTAGATATAATTCTGACACGGTAAGCGAAATCCTTCAAATCCCGCCCAATCCAGCCAAATTCATGATTCGTTCTAACAGCCGAAAACGCATCAACTATGTTTCACCAATTTGGAGGCAGGATACTAGTCGGGTGCTTATTAGACATTGTCGAACACCTCACCACGCGAAATATGCACTAGAACATCCCCCACGCCATCGGGCCAGCATTGCGCTTTGAATATTCTCCTTATTGAAAATGAAAGGACTAGCTAATTATTAAAGCTCGTTAAAATGATCATTAATACCATGTCTTATGCCTTAGCCTAGACTGTCTAGGTATAACTAAGGATCAATTAATTTTCTAAGACAGGTTGCATGGATCAGTCAGATTTAATGAAAAAAGTGAAAAAGGTTCTTCCTAATAAGGGAAGTCAGTTTATACCTATACGTATATATGCTTCTCGATAAGAAAACGTTTATTTATGAAGTTTAATTTTATGGTAACATTGTCTAGCTTCACTTTTCTCAGTTAAACGCAGTCGCCTTGCTTTAGCAAACAATTAAGTATTTTATATACTTTACTTCTCATTTCATGAAAAATTTATTTATAATCAAACAAGCCTGAATTTTGAACAAGTCCCATAGTTTAGTCCCCCTTAAATAAAATAATAGAAAACTTTAAAGAAAAGAGATCCAAGACAGTTACCTACTCTGATGGCTATATTAATTTCCCGTAAATGCTTGCTAACAATTAGCGAGCTGAAGTAATCAAAATTGGACACTGGGAGGTGTTTCAAATTGAGCATAACCAAATGGGCTGAGAGTCAAACCTTCTAAAACGGAACATGTTCTGCTCATCAAGAAAACAAAGATCCCTGCATTTTTTTACCAAAGCTTGATGGGACTAACCTAACCTTTCCTCTGAGGCGAAATACATACATACTTACTTCCTTGACTACAAACTTATGTGGAACTATTATAACCAATTAAGCTCTAGTGGGAAACACTAGATAAAAGTAGTAATCAGGAAGAGCACTGACACCCTAAGGCCTCGGGCTGTCACGCGCTGTGAGCAGTGCGCCTCTATAAGGGATGAATATTATACATACTTCATTTGAAGCCACCGTACCCGAAAAAGAGGAATCAAAATTTCGGATACAGACCGAATAGGGGCATGTAGCGATCTCAAGTGTGCTTAAAAGAGGTCGGCGCCACGAGATTAGAACCGATATAGATGTCGGAACTGATTAAATTTCGTAGTGTAATGACTTTCGCTTTTCATGTAGGGATGAGTGGAACGCTGGCCAGCTGACGGGGAATGCTGGTACTTCCATCCACACTGATGGCTAAAAGGATGAGCAGCGACTTATATAGTCTATATCAGGGATGGGCAGACTTGTGGCTCTTAAAGCAGTCAAAGAGCCAGCAAGTATTACGCAAGATGTAAATCGGTTCGCAGGGTAAAGGGGTGTCAAAAATACCTTAAAAGCATCATATATAAATATTAGAAATTTTAATACGCTCTTATGCTCAAACTTTCAACAAAACAAAGGAAAATTCAGCAAATTTTCATCAAATTTTCAAATTTAAAAAAAAGAGAAAATTGGTCATACATACATATATAAGAAAATGCTCAACACCGTCAGCAAAAACTTTTATCAAAAATCAATGGGAATTTTTTAAAAAGCTTGAAATTTCGATGAGAATTTATGAATTTCCCTTAATTTTGCCCAAAGTTTGAAATTTTGATTTACATGGGTTTTGTTGAAAAATGAGCTATATATTTATGTATACAAAATTAACATAAAAATTTAGAATATCCTAAAAAAATATCAATGCAAAATACGTATCTGAGTGAGTACTACGTAAACTCTATACACACGTGTTCTTAAAATTGTGTTATTTAAAATTAAATTCGAAAAAATGTTTATATGTACATTGTACATAGCTCCGTCTCACGCTCGAGCTCACAAACATTTGTTCGCTTGCCTCAGCTCACCTTGTGTGCATTAAAGTCATTTTTCTTTTCCGCGTCCTACGTTGCCACACAATCATTACGCCCCATTCGTTGCCTTTCCCTTGCTGTCACGACACTTTTGCTCTTTTCATTGCCCTTTCATATCCGTTCTCTTGCAGGCATTTGCAGTCAATGCCTTCACTCTATAACTACCTCAAGCCAAAATCTTTTTTAAATGTCCATATCATGAATTGCATCATGGTCACGTATATACATACTTACATATACATATGTATATATGTATGTAGAGATGTGTGTGAAAGTGGGCGTTTATGTGTGCTTTACCCAACGGGCATTCAACATACTAAAGCCTTTTCACGTCAACTAAAAATACTGCAACAATATTGCTTGCCGCTGCACGCAATATCAATACGCTCGCCCGCCTAGGCGTATGAGTAATGCACAGCGATGGCGAATACCATATCTACCAATGCTTATGGGTTGCACACATAAATGTAGTAAGTGTATGGGAGTGCCGTGTCGCATGCAATGTTACCATAGAGAAATACTTCAAAGTTAAAAATTTCACAAAAATTTCATGACTAAGTTGTTTCTGCTGCCGCTGCCGCTGCTGCTAACCAGGTGAGCTTAGCTAGGAACAGAAGTACTTTAGCGCCCACAGAGTGGACATTGTACTGGCATATTGCTTGAGCGTGCCCTTAATGTATTATTGCATTCATGTGCATATGTAGGTGGTAGCGCTTGAGTGCCCAGTAACTATCGGGCCACTAAGTAAGTATGGCGAAGGCGAACGAAAATGCTAAAGTTGTGAGTGTGGTGCTGTGCGACTTTAATAGTTTAAAATTTTCCTTAAACAGTATACACATACAGGTTTACGTAAGCTGATGTACAAGTATATTTATGAACTATAATTCCATATTTAATTGCTGCAAATTTATTTTCTTGCTTCCATATACCATTCTTGTACGTGATTTTTTGCGCGAAAATTCCTTTTGCTATTAGCTAAACCATTTCGGCTTATCCAGAAAGATAATTTATCGTTGATTCATGATCATTAACCGTTGACCATTTGCTAAGAAGCGTTGTTCCATACTTTGCTCGCGTTTCTGCTTTTGGGTTGGACTATGTATTATATTTTTAACTTTAGTCCTAATTGGTTCATTTCCTTTTCGTGCTTAACTACAGACGCATGTACATATGCATGTGTGTGTTTACGTCAGCTACATACACAGCAGGATGTAACTACTGTTTTAATTGTTTTAACACCAAAAGAAGCAAAAAACCTAAATAAAATGATTTCTCCAATAACTTTATGTTAAGTTATTTTTCATATTGTCGCGGAAATTCTTGAGCTCTACTAAACATCTTGTCATCTCTTTAATCAAGACTCCTCACAGCATAGGAATCGAGCAGAAAGTTAGATAGAATAGATCGATGGATAAAAATAATCCAAATAAAAACCGTTGAATTCTTAAAATATTTAGAAAATATTGTAGCTGAGGTATGTGAAACAGGTCTCTTATAATTAATTGGCTTATAGTTGGGGACTTTAATATTAACTTAAACGTTAACTCCTCCTGTAGCAATAAATTAAAAGATATACATATTTGCACGTAGCTCAACGAAACAAATGATCGATTGCAATAAATTAATTGCAGAAACGTCACAAACAAAGATAGATCTCCTATTTGCAAACAGTAATATTTATACAGTAAAACCCGCTTAAGTACCTCACGAAAAATGTCAGCTTTTTGAGGTACTTAGACGGGTTGGGTACTTAAAAGAACCCGGTTAAGTACCTTGATGCGGGTACTTAAGCGAACATAATTATTGATATAGTTAATCTTCCTGTTAACTTACATAAATAAGTCCTTGAATAAAACATGAACACTTAATGAAGTGTGCATAGTTTAAAACCAAGATCATAGCATCATTTAAAAATATAAAAAAAAAACTTTATAAAAAAATCGATAAAGCAATGTTATGTCATTTCAACAAGAATTCAATTCTTGAAAGTCATTGATTATACATATTTATATATACATACAGTGTTGGACATATCTATCATTTTGGACCAAATTCAAAATGATGTGGTTTGTCACATATGCTATTTATTAAATTTCAAGATTTTTCAATTAAAACACAGTTCATTCCCTAACAAAAATAATACAAACCTAAGCTTAAAATTTCAAACATTTTTCTCAGAAGCGTTTATAGCCCAGAAGGCGCACGCCACAAATCGGAAGAAAAGCTCGGCCAAACACTAACATATGTGTAAGCGCCAATCTATTATTATATAGTTTATAGCCCATTCAATTTTAGTGTAATAATGTGCAAGTTTCAATTGGTTAAAAAGTACGGTTGATTTTTTAGAATTTTTTGCCGAACGTGTTGCGGGAGCACTTAAAAGGTGAAACTTATAAGTAAAATGGTAAATGGGGTACGAAAAATTTAGGTACTTACGCGGGTTGGGTAAATAAGCGGGGAGGTACTTAAGAAAGGAATTTTCTTCAGATTACATTAAAATATTCACGGTGCCCAAAAATGTTGGTTACTTAAGCGGGTCAGGTACTTAAGCGGGTTTCACTGTAGTAACGTGTGAGCGGCTCGAACACAATAGGGGTATTCTCTGAGTCTTGCCAAGTCCTTGCACGTTGCACAGATTCCACGGTAAAAACTGGTTTTCGTATAGGACAGCTTTGCAACCGTGCAATCCGTGCACCATGCAAGGGCTTTGCAACACTCAGAGAATACCCCTAATAGAATTTCTATCACGAAGGGCGATAGCTACTACGCCATGGGAAAATTATTTGGTTGTAAACTATATAAATTTATTGGGAAAATGCGACTTGGGTAAATTGATAATTATGGATGTCAATGATATGGTAAATTACGTAAATACCTGTCTAACTGATTGCGAGAAATTATTACCGTTTAAAGAAAAACAGCGTTGTAAAACTGAGGAATAAATGGTATGACCAGAAATGATAGAAATTAGTAAACTGAAGTACGACTCAAGCAAACACAACGGGCGTTGAAATAAACAAGTAAGCTTTAAGCACAAAACAAAACCATTAATTTCTTAATGATCCAATGATCGGATATGAACCAAATTGTGTTTAATTGCATTCGGAGACTCGGCCTTTCCGACCTCTGCTAGCTCTTGAACGACACACGGAACGTGGAAGGGGATCGGAGAGTCGGTCTTTCCCACCACGCGAACTGTTAGCGCTCGAAAGACGCTGGGATCGGTCTCGATTGGGAGCACCCCATCGACTATTTCCTTAACGGCAGCTGTCTCTAGAAGGAAAATACTACAGTCATATGGAAGCATAAATTCGAAATTAAAGGACAGGTCCCGACAAATGACCCTTGCATTACAATGAGCCTTTATGTAGGCAAAATTTTCTTCTATATCCGAAAATTCTTCAGATGTTTTCGCATGAAGCTTTAATTTTATAAGACATTACCAAATAAATAATAGCACAGGCTAACAAAATTTCACTAAACCCAGAATTTCGAGACCGGCCGGCAGTTTTCTACAAATTGTTAAACTTGGGTTTATATGGGGTTTGTTAGAGAAAGAACTGTATTTTAATTGAAAATTCTTAAAAATAAATAAATACATATAAGTGGCACACAATATCACTTTGAAATGGCGTGCTATAGATATGACCGATACTGTAAGTAAAGAAGCCTAAAATTATACTATATTAATTTGAGGGGCTATCCAGCGAAAAAACTAATTTCAAAGGACGTTATATACATTTTAGTTAGGTTTGAGTATCTCGGTAGCCTGAGGTATTGAAATAAATTTGATACCGGATTCTTAAAAAAAATAATAGTCTGGTCTCAGCGTGAGGAATTTTGTTAAATTTTGTACGTCTGTGTTATCTTAATTATGTATTAAAATAATTTATACGGGTACGGAAATAGAATAGACACTTACCGTGTACCACTATGAGTTAAGGTTGTTGTACTGCCGCCAGTTGTTGTTGCATGATAATTACGCAAATTGGTAATATCCGCGAGAGTAGTACCCTCACCACGATTATAACTGATATCGGAAGCTAGAAGATTAGTCACGATGGATGAAGAACGCCGACGAGTGAGCAGTGGAGATTTTTGTACGCGTTTGGTCTGGAAAATAGTACAATTTTATTAACTTTTTATTATCCTGCCGGGCGCTGCAAAGTGGTGGTTTTTAAAAATGAAATGAACGATTTTTTCCCCTCTACGAACTCAAAAAATTAAATTTTTTTTTTCATTTAATACCCAAAATCGATACCACTTACGTCGAGGATATCACATATAAATTTTGGTCCCGATTGGAGTCGATTAACACGTCTTCATAGGGTAATCTGAATTTTTACCCCTGTGCGGACACGCCTTAACCAACTTCAATCGGGACCGAAATTTATATGTGATATCTTCGACTACGGTAGTATCGATTTTGGGTATGAGATTAAAAAAAAATTATTTTTAATTTTTTAAGGCGACACGCCTTAACCGTCTGTAAGTGGGACCAAAATTTGTATGTGATATCTTCGACTATAGTAGCATCGGCGTAGAGGTTAAGGCTTAGAAAAGCTTATGTAAAATTTTGCTTCCTACATATAAGGACCACCCTTATACTCACACAGATAAGTAATAAAACTAGTGGCAAGTACACAGAGTTGGCTGCTATTTGTATGTATGTATATTTTATTGCAAGCCGTCGAATCAGTTCGCACATATAGGACATAATATCTATGTATGTATATAAAATATTAAGTTCCTTTGTGCGGCTTCAAAAACTCAAAAATGGCTTTATTTATTCGCTGCAATGTCCAAATGGTTTAAGAGGAAACAAATTTTAAGAGTTGCCACAAGTTTTAAAACTTCAGTTTAAGTAAATTGATAAAATAAAATAAATATTGCAACATTGGTATCAAAATAAAGCCTAAAATGTTTTTGTGGTGGGTTGCCACCTGTTTGAAAACATTTTATTAATTTAAATTGATAACATAAATTATATTATGTCATCAAACTAAAGAGGTTTAAGAACTGTCTGTCGAAATAATTTATGTGGTGGGTTGCCACCGTCTTGAACAATAAAGTTCAATTAAACTGAGAAAATAAATTAAATGTTACAATATGGGTGTCAAACGAAAGATATTTAAGATGTGTATATTTTCAATAGAACTGCCACCTATCTAAATAGTACAAACTAAAAACATGGAAACTAAATTAAATATTACAAGAGTCGTAGGGAATGGAAAGTGTTTGAGAGCGCTTTACTTGGCAATCATTTATTTAGAAAGGTTGCCTTGACTCTACATATCAATTCAATATTTGTCGTTTTCGATAATGTGCGCAAAAAATATTCAAATACCGTATATTTATCTCCCACAAATGCTGATTGCATTTAAAAAAACTTCACTGCATACATACATATTTTCAAAACAATAGAGGGTGTAAACACACAAAAATACTTTGAAGGCGCAGCGAAGCATGCTGGGTGTTTGTTAGCTATTTTATTTTTTTTTTAATTTATACAATTTTGAATGGTTAATTCCAGTGTGACACCACAGTAGGTCAAAATATTATAATTAATATTATTATTGTTATTATAAATTGTATTATTTGCACCGCTGAAGCACTAAAATGTGTTTGCAAATGTTTTAAAACTATTTTTTCTTTCAAGTTCATTGATGCGAAGTTTTTGGGCTACTGTGTTGCATTACTTTTATAGCCCCTTTCCCACACAATCACAAAATCTGCGCATCACCGTTGTCAAAACTACTGTGCCCAAAAATATATTTTGTTATTGTTAAAAATAATTTAAGCACATTTTTAAATTTCTAATGCGTTCAATATCCAATTTTCATGGCATAATTTTGGGCACCGCAATTTTAACATGATTAATGCGATAAATTTGCGAATGCGTGGGAATAAGGCTATTAACGGCAAAATGTTTTTTGAGAGGAATTTAATTATAACTGAAACATATTTTAAGCTACTGATTGCTCTTATTTGTGGCAACGTAAAATAATAGTATTCATATAAATTCACAAACTTATTTCAACGCAGTCAATACGAACTTGTTATATGACCCAATTCATTTGTAAAACCAAATTACGAAGATACATATATATCTAAACAAATCCTCTTTGCGTCGCTACTCCCATTACGCATTGAGTTATTTATTTTTTTACATACATATGTACATATGTTTTCCACCCAGCTCGGCTCAGTTTTAAATTAAATTCAACGTTGACCTCATTCGCTTGCAATTAATTGAAAGAGTCCACGAATAAATGATATCCTATTTTAAATACTCTTTCGTCTTAACTCAATGAATGGTGGTAAATACCCAACACACAGAGCATACACATTTGTGATGCTCTAGAAATCCCATAAATCCCACAGTCAACCGGCGCCATTAGCACTCATTTTAATTTTTCGACTCTCCCCGCTCAGCAAGCACTCCCCGCCCACCCCAATCGCATATTTTCGCTATGAAGGTATGTACTTACGCTGGCATTGCTGCGACCGGCCGCCGCACACAATGTGACACCAGTGACTGCATTGCCGTTATTGCTGTTGATGTTGTTGCTGCACGCGCTAATAGCTGGCGCAGTTACAGCGTTGACAAAATTTGCGCTTGCAGCATTTAATAGATCACTAAATTTATTTACTGATGTTGATGTTTTAGGGCGTGGCAGGGTCGCGGTAGGCGAATGTAGGTCTATGTATAACATAGTAGTGCTGTCGTTGGCGTTAGCGCTGCCAGCAGCTGTGTTGGCCGTACAAATTCCGGCGGCAGCACAACACGCGGGAGTGCCCGAAAGCGTAATTTTATGCTCCGTGCCCACGTCGACTGTTTCAGTAATCCCTGATTGTGCTGTTGCCGTTGTTGCTGCTGCTGCTGCTGTTGCCGCTGTATCAAAATTGTAATTACTGTTGCTGTAGTGTAGCTCGCCGCCGCCGCCGCCGCCGCCTATATTGTTACTAACGCCATCGCCCACAACGCCTCCGCCCAGCATTTCAACTGCCGCACCACCGACTGTCGAGTTATTACCAAAGCTGGTGCTCGCGCTCGCACATAGACCGCCTCCGATGCCGGCGAGATTTATCGCTGATCCTAACATGCCACTTAGCGTGTTCAGATTTGTGCGACTGCCGGAAAGTAGGCCACTTTGTTGTTGTACACGCTGCAGCACCGCCTCTTTGGTGTGGTATGCGCCAAAGCCCAGGCCTTTGGGTGGTTGTGGCAGAGTGCGATGTGGCAGCATTTGCTCCTTGCAACAGGGATTCGGTTGTGCGTTTGCTGCTGTTGCTGTTGCTGCTGCTGTAGATTGCCCTGTGCACTTTAATGTGTTTAGTTGCATTTGTTGTTGTTGTTGATGTAGTTGTAGTTGCGGTTGTTGCGTGTGCATTTGCTGATACTGTGTAGCTGCTGTTGAGGGTTTCTTTAGAATGGGTTTCAGTACGGTTGTTGTGCTAGTGATTGGAGGTTTTTGTGGTTGTGGCGGTGGTGGGGGCAAAGGCAATTCAGCGGGTGTTGGTGTGGAGGAAGTGGTGCTTATCGTGTCGCTTTCCTCACAGCTTGCATCTGAAAGGCGAAGAAGAAAATGCGATATTTATTAAGATGTTAATGGAAATGTTTGATAGAATTTCTTTCTTTCGAGCATTTTGTGTTGATTGTGCTAATAAACTGCTGATGTGGTCAATAAAGTGGATTAAGTAAATGAAAAAGTTCGTCCTATCTTTAACTGAATTGCCTTTAATTAACTGACTACATCCATTACAGATGGTCAAACCAAAAAAAAAAAATATATATATTACGTATACGTCCTGTACCACCGTACCCAATCTAATAAAAACTACTAAAAAGACACAAGTCACTAAAACCATATTTGCGTCGAAATATATTGCAACCAACTTCCTATTGTAGAAATTTAAAGCACCGGAGGAAAAAATGCAGCATTAGCTGACGATATGGTGTCCCGTAGGGATTTATCGCTTCTAACTAACCTCCCAAGTGCTTACTCAATAAATTTCAATTCCAGAGTTAATCCAACAAAATTTCAACTAATTAATTTGCCTAGGAAGCACAACTGCCAACCATGGGTCCCATCACCCTAAATAGTGCTGTTTAAGGGGGGCATACCAGAAAAATATTTGCACTTATCCGTACAAATTTAAAACTAGACATTGATTTTTGTTATTTGATAACAGAAATTTTGGTCATTTAAAAAGTTGGACACACATTTTTGGTCATTTGAAAACTGGACATAAATATTTAGTAATTTTAAAGATTTTCGCAAGTGTTTGGAAATTTAAAAATTTGGTAAAAATTTTTTTATATATGTACAAACTGAATATAAATTTTCAGTATCTATGTAGTTAATGCAATATTTGAGTTGTGTCATTTAAAAACTTGGACATTTATTTTGGGTTAGTAAAAAACTTAGACACACATTTTTGTTTGCTTGAAAGCTGGGAATAAATTACTTGTCATGTAAAAAGTGGACAGAAATTTTGACCATTTAAAAGTTGGACATATATTTTTGGTTATAAAAACTGCGTTCAAATTTGTCATAAAAAACCTTGTAAAGCTCGGACGTATATATCTGGTAATACAGTTTTGGTAATTTGAAAGCTGTGTACATATTTTTCGCCTCTGGAGAGAATTTTTAAAAGTCTTTTCGTAATAATAAACAAACCGCTCATCCGAATTAAACAAATTTAATATCAAATGAAAGAGGACTGAAATAGATTAAAAAAAAATATCCAAACGGGGTTACCACCTATTTATATATTATAATATTATTTTTAATTGAAACATTTTTCAATAGGTGGCATCTCTCGTTTAGAGTTTAAAAGCTATTTCAGTTTTCTTTCGTTTGTTTAATTGCATAAACGATTTGTTGACTATTATTTCAGCCCGCCGACACAGCTTTTTTTTTTAAGTGTAACAATGAAAGCAAATGTGGGAATATTTTACTGTAGCTAGACTGAATCTATTGATTGCAAAAAAGTGGGAATTGTTTTGTTTTTTTTTTTACTTTGTTGATGAGTCGTGCAATTTCTTTTGGAAAAAATCAATCCATTAACACTTCGAGCATTGTAAGCGTTTAAAAGAATTCCGGTTTTAAATTACAAAATTTTCAATTGTCTTATTTTTTATTCTCTTATCCCTTCAAAGAACAAACAAACAATTAACGTTGACAAGCAATGTTCTCTATTTTTTTATTCCAATCTGATGGCTTTATTTTCTCATTACAGCACATTATTTGAATTGAATTAAGTGCTATTTGTCATTCACATAGGCATAATAGCTCATCGCCATTATTATTTTTAATTATTTTATTCGTATTAATAACTTTCGTTGAACAATGGTTGCTTTGCTCTTTAACAATTAGCTTAACTTGCTTGCACTACTGGCAACTGATGTTCTTTGATTAGATGATTTCAATTAAGAGTGCATGTACTAGCTTAGTAGAAGCTTAATAAAGTCAGATAATAATGTATATATACACATGTATGTACATACATATACGCATATTTTCAAATAAGTACTAACTTTCTACTGCTTCCAGAAAGTCAAACTATTTTTTTTTACCTTTCGTTGTTGGAATTTTCTAATTTGATGTTGTATTTTGTTTTTAATTCTTGTTATAGTTATCCTATGCTATGCTCTGTTCATGTGCTTAACGAAAACCAACATCGACATATTGCATTTTCCATATTTTTTTTTTTATTTGCATGATGCCAATTTAAAGTTTGAAAATTACTGTCATCCACAACTAGCAGACAGGGAGTTGCAACTTTATTCAATGTCGGAAAGCTAGCATCGCTTTTCGTTTATAAAGGCATAGAAGGGTGTATGTACAAGTTGGTAACAGCTTAGCTACATATATCTCTGTCATGCAAGCGTTCACCCAGCTAAGTGTTCCCTTTGCTATTATCCAAACTATTCATTTTCAGCTTTGTGTGTTTGCGCGTGGGCACATAACTTTAGACAAAAGAGGAGTGGAAAGGAGGTAAAAAAACAAAATTCATTACACTGATTTTATGTACCTAATGAGGCAAGCATAAGCTACGTGACGCTACCACTTTATGGCATTGGCGGCAATAAGGGTCGAATTGTATAAACACCAGAGTGTTATCAGAAATATTGTGAGCATGGAGAAGTATTTACATATGGTGCCTGTATTATAAACAAGTTTTTTTTTTATGTAAAGTGACGCAAAGTGAAGGCAAACGATTTTTTCACGATCTGTACTAAAATATTTCTGCTTTTTGAAATGCTTTGAAAATAGAAAAACTGTGAACATTTGGAAAATTTTAGCACATCCTTGATAATAGTGGAAAACAGAAGCTGAAGACAAATATTTATGATTTCTTGATTAGAAAATATTTCTGATATACATACATACATTTCTCATATACATACAGTAGATTGGAGCGGTCGATTCCTTTTATATCAAATAGTGACTGAATGAAGACGATATTGTTTTATTAAAAGGCGAATCGAAAAACTGACAGAGGGTAATGGAACTATTTGCTTCAAAACAAGGACTGATGTGCTGGGCCTATCTCTTGATGAAAAATATTTACCAACTATAGAGGTATGTAGCTCTAGGTTTAATCCAGTATTTGATGTCCATATTTAACTTTTTGACGAAGGCCTATGTAAAAAAACAAAATTATTCCTACCTAATGAACATATCCAGGTGGATAAGGTTTACGATCTTAAGGTTTGCGGAGACGTTACTTCACCCGTCACGATGTTAAAATCGTACTTGTCGACTTTAACTCCAGGGCGGTCAATGCAGCCATTTTTGGTCCAACAATCGGGAAATTTACACTGCATGATAAAAATTAGTGGTACCAGGCCCCAGCATCGAAACAGCCATAAAGACCAAAGAACCAAAAATCAAATTGATTACGTTCTGTGATAGACGGCAGATACACTTAAAACGTTCTTGATGCGCGTTTGATCCGTGGAGACAACATTGGTTGCTAAAATTACTTATATGAGGAATATTACCTCGCCATTTCTCAGTGAAATACGCAGCATCCCAGTCCACGCGGAATCAGGAAAAAGATGGCATGAGAGACGTATTTTAAAGGAGAAACAAAGAGATGCAGTAAGACGTGTTTGCAAAGAGCTTGAGATGCAAGGTGGCAGGTATGCGGATCGAAATTTTATAAAAAAATAAGGCAGCAATCAAATGTTTTAAAGACAGGGGCTAGTTTTTGACAAAATGAAGATTGCAATCTCGTAACAGAAGTCCGGAGTACTGATAAATTTGATATCTCCGCAAGGCTAATACGGCTATGTAGAGTGACGACGACCTACAACTTTTAGCAAATAGGGAAGGACCTCTTCCAGCCGTTTGAAAACAAACGAGGTTTTAGGTAAGACGATTCAGTTCAGTGCAACCTCTTCAAACTGATGTTAGAAAACTTTTTGCTAGACAATTTTAGTGTCAATGCCTATCAGGATGATCAATGTTTATGCCAGTGCTCTCCAATGCTTAAATCAACACGACAAATATTTAATATTTTTGTCTTGGCTGACCCCATTATTTATCTTTTAACTGATAAATATATATTTATGAGAAGATCAAGCCGTCTTTCGAGAAAAGAAAACTCAGTTTAACTAATAAAGATATCGGCAGTATGCCTGAACATAGTTCGACAAGGTGGAACCTGGGTTGACAAGATAAATGATAGCAATACTCCAAAAACTTATTAACCTGTCGGTACGATGCCATGTCTGAATTTGGTAGTTCCGCAAAACTAATACGACTATGTAGAGTGTCTAAAAAGCGTAATAAGATCCACCAATATGAATCGCAGCGGCACCATATATAGCAAACGAACGATGCTGCTGGCGTATGCACATGATATCGATGGGCGTAACTGCAGAATTTTCCAGTTAAGAAAAAGAAGCTAAAGAGGTTGGTCTAGCTGTGAATGAGGACAACACAAAGTACCTCCTGACAACATATAAAGAGTCCACGCGCTTCGGGACACACGTCACTGTTGGCAGCTATAACTCTGAAGTAGCGAAGGACTTTATTTACCTGGGATCCAGCATAAGCACCACTAACAACGTCACGTTGTAAGCCTGGATAACGGCGCTCCAGTGAAAAGATGCACCCACGAACAAAGTGGAAGGACGAAGTGCAGAAATGCCAAAGGTGAAGAGGAATATGTAAATGGAGCAAATGATAAACATAAAAGTAAAGACAAAGAGGAGGATGAGGAGACCGATAAAAGTAAGGATGAAGATAGGGGAAGAAATATTAAAATAAAGGTAATTAAAGACGAAAGGATATAGAGAGAGACGCAGAGACTCAATCTGGGAACTATTTGGAATTTTAGAGATTTTCGGGATTCTCGGGACTTATCGATAAAATAATCGATATTTTTATCGATTTTGTTATGGATATTTATCGATTTCGTTATGCATATTTTTATCGATTTTGTTATCGATATTTTTATCCATTTTCTTATGGATATTTTTATCGATTTTTTAGCAATATTTTTGTCTATTTTGTTATCGATATTTTGCGATTTTATTATGGATAGTTTTAC